GAAGTTTCGCGAGAGTCGGTCTTGCTTTACGGCGAGAACTGCTACACCCCCCAGTTAAAAGCATTCTCGTTGCTAGCACAGTGGCGATCTTTGTGCAGTGCTGCTTTCACACCGGACACAGCAGGAGCAGCAAAATCGCGTCTGCTGCTTCATTTTTGCTGCTTGTACCAGTTAGTTCTGACGCGCGGCTGAAGCAGCTTTGCTGCTCTGGCTGCGCGGTGCAAAAGTGTGTCTGACGCGCGTTGGGCGGAGCTTCACTATCCTTTCTCTGCCTTGCAGCTATATTTGCTGTGATCAGTGGGAATAAAGTAGTTTTAATATGTGTTTAAGTGAGAAAATACACCTGAAAACGTAATCAGTGCAGTCAGTTCATTCAGATTATCATCCTGCCTTACAATATTTTTTCTGTCGGAGCCGCTCAGACCCCCACATATCAGCGGTGCGCCGACAGAAGGAATCCCTTCATCAGCAGCCTCTGGCCGGGTCGCCTCCTCGCGGTTCACCGCGGCAGCTGGTAGGTGTTTTTCATCTAAATAATCCAAACTGCAGGCAGCAGGATAATAAAAGAATTGCAGATTTCTGCATTTTAAGTTAATTTAGGCGTCAATAAACTGTTCAAGAGGAGTGATGATAGCGCTCTGATCATCAGCGCTGTGTCTGTCTCCCTGCCAGCTCCCAGATCAGCTTCTCTGATTGGTTGACGCGGCGCGTCGAGCAGCAAAAAATCAATTTTTCCATCTCGAGCAGCAGCGCGTTTGCGGCACGTCAGATGCTTAGTCATTCGTTGCGTTCGCCTGTCTGCTAAGCTCAAAACAACCGCGCCTGGCTTGACGGAGAAACCAGGAGAACAGCTGTGCATATTTACGACAGTGCACTTTTACTTTCGCCCTCTGGGGGGAGCCTCGCTGGAAAATCAACACCGGTTGCATAGTATACCTTTAAAGCTACAGTGTGTAACTTTTAGCGACATCTAGCGGTCAGACTGCAAACTGCAGCAACATGAACATCTCCCCCCCACCGCTTCTCCCCCCCAACAGTACGGCGAGCGTTACGGGACAAAATGTCTTCCACAACGTCCGCATCACCTACCTTCTCAAGTGATGAGGTTTGTTTACATAGATAATTTTACAGATAGTATTTCATTAGTCTGTGTAGGGTATAGATTTCATGTAGACTTAAGATAATAAATATACACGTTATTTTTCTACATCGTTGTGACGTTTTGGCGATCTCGCAATCGCTAGTTTGTTGGCTCTGTGCTGCCGTAGCGCAAAGATGTCTGCCTCCATGGCTGCGAGACCCGCTCCTATGTAATTATAAATAACGAATTCTAAGGCAATGCAAATATTAAGGTTAAGAGGCTGAGCTTGTAGATGATGATAAATAACATAGTTATGTATAATATATTACATTTCTGACTGTATATCCCTGTAATTATTACACACTGTAGCTTTAAGTAAAAATCAATGTTATAGTAGTCCTATTGTTGCTTACCTAAAATTTATGGCTACTCTAGCCACCTCTGGTGTAAAGTTACAGCCTTGGTGTATGTGTAGCTGATGAGCTACACAAACTGCTGAAAACTTCTGAACCCTAAAATATGTTTGACAGCTTAAAAAGAACCTGAATTCCTTTTTCCCAAGTATAAATATGTCACAAACATATCGCTCTGTGCCTTAGATGCGGTGATTCTTGCTGGATAAGTTTTCATAATGCAGAGTCTTTACTCTGCGTTACTGGATTATACATCTGGAAGACTAGCGGAGCTGAAAAATTATGAACTATTTGAATAAGTTAAGTGGATCTGTCTGACGTATTTCTAAGATTCCCCAGAGAGCTTTGTTCTCTGATCAATAAAACCCGTGATTTCTCCTCATTCAGTCTCAGATATTATGTGAACCGTGGTTCTTTTTGTTGTATGATTTATAGTTTTTAATGCAAAGCAGGTGTGAGAGACCAAATGGTTCACCGGCATTCAGAGAGCCGGCCGAGGTGTCAGCCATCTCAGAAACACTGGGAGTGAATGAGACTGTGGAAAGGAGAGCAAAATGACTTATTATTATGTACGGTTGAAACATCTTTATAGCAGTGGAAATCTCAGGGGGGCTCTCAAGCTAGAAGTATGGGACTTAATGTTGTTGTTTTTTTCCACTCTAGGTAGGGTTATTGCATAACTTAGAGACTCCAAAAAAAATGTTCTGGAATCCATAAGCACCGACGCTTTTCAGAAAATATTTGCTAATCCTTTGGTTAATCGTTTTGGAGGAGTAAACCGCTCAGAATGTTGGATCTAAGACAGTTATTTATGATTGCCAGATGTCTATCGCATTCCTGTTCTGGGCTCCGATCCTGCTACCATTGCCGCAGCCGGGCACTAAACTGACATTTCTTTCCATGTTCAAACAATATTAAAATTATTTGATCTTTTCACAAATTTTTAATAGTTAATTCCATCCCCATGTGAAAATAAGAATAAAATAAATCCTAGTGGACATTTAAACATTGCATTAAAAGCAGATCTGCAATTCAATCTGCTCCATCAGTGTGGCAGAACCCAACTGATAGTGCTTCACATTATTCATTAATTAAAATTGCTCGAAATTATATATTTTTCAACTTTCATGTTTACAAAGTATTGAAGAGTAAATAACCTGGAATGCGCTCGACTCACAAACTCTGCTCTTCCAGCTGTGCTTGTGCAGAAATGCGTCTGTGTGCAGCTCAGCTCAGAGTCTTTACGCTCCCAAATGATGGTTTACTCTCAGCATTATGGCTCTTCCTGCTCTCACTGCTTAATAAAATATATGTGGCTGATCATTCTTTGCAGAGCTTAAAAAATTATTTAGTCTTAACTATTAAGATTTTATTTCTCCCAGCTAACAGGAGTTGATCCTAAACATTCTTTAATTTCTACCAAAAGGAATCCCTAAATTATATCCAAAGCAAATATTTCATTGCATTCTGTTTATTTTTAAAAAAAGATCCAGATGAAAAGGTACATAGATCTTTGAATATTTCTCTCTCATCGTTCTCTTTTCTATCTATTTAAATATGATGTAATTATTTCCTTGTATTGCAATGAAAACATTTTCTGTTTCCTTTATATATTTCAATAATTTAGTTAGCATATTCATTCAATTTATGTCTGGATTGGCATGGCATTACAAGGCAATTATCTCATCAAAACCCTGTGAATTTAAACCTTCTTTGACCCCTGAGCAACTGTAACCGAGGGGTAAATTCCCAGAAATAAAGCCAAGATTATAGATTGAACGAAGAATGTTTTTTATTCTTTGCCCTTTTGGAGTAATGCAGATTTTATTGATCTGTGTTTAATGCATATTTCATAGTAGATCAGGAAGTGTTTGCTTTGGGATGGAAACCTTGTATGTCCTAAACCATTCCTTTATTGGATGTTTTGTTAGCTTTTCTGTCTGCTATATTAACCAATATAATGTGTTAAACTAAATCTGACATTTTCACAGCTTTTGTCGGACACTTTTTTATAAATTAGTGCATTAATTCATAAAAAAAAAAGTTTATTAGAATTCTATAAATCAAAGTTTTCTGCCCCACAGCAATGATGATCTGCACGGCAGCATTCTATCCCCGCTATTGCAGTATCTAGGATAGAGCTGTTAGTCTGGGAAATAATCAGGTTATTATTTGAAATTGTAAACATAAAATTTTTTTGCAACATTAAACTGACTAAAACCTTTTTAAGTTTTAGTCGACTAAAACCGACTCAAACTATTACATATCGTAATGACTAAAATGTGACACAGACTAATAATAGTGTTCGTTCTGAAGACTAAGACTAAACAAAATCTAAGATGGCGGTTAAAAACTACTCTGCTGTTCAGAAAATGTTTTTTTTAATGTTTTTTTTTTTTGCTGTTGTTGGCATTCATATAAATATACTGGTGTGATAACGTAGTATATATTTGACTGGTTTTTGGTATATGTCTATTTTGATGTTATAACCCCCCTGGAGAAAAATCCACCAGCCGCCACTGGATCTATATCAACTTTAAAGCAGAAAACACTTTGTTTCAAGCTTCCTTTCCTCAATATATGACCTTCCACTTAATCTCTTTAAAGAAATACTGTTAGGAATCCAGTTTGTGTGGGTTGTGTTTTTGTGTTTTCTCCCTCCACCACCAGGTGGCGCTTGGTTCTCGTTGGCCTTCTCACACACCTGCGGATGGTTGCCTCATTACCGGAGGACTCTTAAGCTACTGAATGCCACTACCTCTACGCCAGAGTGTTTGCCAGTTTTGGGTACTCTAGCCAAGCTGAGTTTTGCTGAGTCAAACTGAGTTTTAACATTGTTGTTTTTTGTCTTTGCCTCTCGGCAGGAAGTCATCCTACAAACTGGATGTTTTTGGACCTTCTCTCCCTGGAAGGATTGTCTGAGCTTCAAACTGAGCTGGGGATTCAAACTGGAGATTTGGATCAACTTTTCCCCGAAGAATTGTTTGAGCTACACTCTGAGCAGGGGATTCATCTCCACAAGAGACCGTTCAAGTACCGCAGGAAATCTAAGTGGCAGTCAGCTCCTCCGTTCCTCAAGAAAACACCTCAACCTGGGTAAACCCTGTCCGCCCTCCACGAGCAAGTTAGTTACTGGAACAACCCACACCGACTGGATTCAGAGAAAGACACCTTTTCTGGAAATGTGAGTCCTGTTGCCTTTATTCCCTTTTGCAAATCGAAGCTCAAATTTCCCACTGAGCCTGAACTAACCACAGGAACTTCCCCTTAATTTTTCAGTCCCGGTTCGCCAGTGTTCAGAGCAGCACTGGACCCATTGCTACCAGTTCTCAATAAACCTGTTAAACCTTCCCATGGTCTCTCTGTTTGGTTTCCTGCATGTGGGTCAGATCTTTGGATAAAATCATGACAAATACATTTAAGTTTGTTTTTCGTAGAGGCAAAAATGTTGAAAATAAACGTTAAACCCGATGAGGATAGAGTACATACGTTTTATTTAAACTTACATGATCACCAGGTTGGGGTCTCATTAGGGACACCTGGTCATATCCACGGCGAAACAGAGCCAAGATGGCATCCAGTTTACCCTGAGGAAGCAAGAATAAATGCTTAGTGGCCATTATCTAATGATAATAATCAAATATCATTATTTCCCTGTAAGGAATGGGATGGTGACATCACACCGCTTCCCACGTCTATAATGGGGGCGGAGCTAGCCAGGAGAAGCTATCCACATCAAGTGTTGGCTGACATATCATGGTAAAAATAACAAAAGCTTTTCCCTTTTGAAAGAACTACAGGACAAAATAGTTTAAAACATCTTAACTTCCACTGGGTCGCCAGCGCAGCACTACGCTTGAAAATAACACCGGTTTAACTTTTACCAACATAGACATTTTATCTTCTTTAGAAAGATCGGATTCTCCACAAGTCAGCTGCCAAGTTCATTTTATGGACACCATGAGCACCAAAGCACAATTAATAAAGATACAGCAGCATGTTAAATCAGATTTTTTTAAATAAAGCTTTGTCTTCCTATCTTTGAAGCCTTCCTGAGGCCATATTATAAATCCAATCTTAGATCAGATTTATATTCCATTTATTTTTAAGTGTCCACCGATTAAAAACTAATCCAGCATATTCTTAATAAAAACATTCCATGATGAGAAAATCACCACATAAAGCATCACAAGCTTTCCCTCCCAGCCGACTTCTTTACAGATGATTCCCCTCATATTATGGCTCATAAAGTCCGAATGCTATTGGTTAAGTTCCAATGCAATGTTTGGCTCGCTAATAACTGTAATTGGCTAATTGGTAATTGGCAAAATGGCTCATTTGAATAGTGCAGCCCTGATATATCGCCATGCGTAAACAGCACACAGACACATTAGTGACTGGATCATTGCACACTGTTAGATAATTAGATGGAAAGTTAGAAAAATATTTGCTTCGAAAATATTTTGTGGCAATCAAAATGCTCCAGTGTGATTTTTGGGCTAAAATTGTTGTGTAAAAGCAAAAAGCACAATTTGGAATAATTTGGCCCATTTAGAGAGGTTTGGAGACGCTGATGACTCCTGTTATGCCTAGAAGTCTGACATTTTCTGCAGTTGTTGTTGACATGAAGCAGAATAAATGTAAAACAATGACACACACCTATTCTCAAGCATGGCTTCATTACTGCTATTCAAATAAGACCTATTATTTTAGAGAAAAAAACCCCAACTATGATCATATCTTAACTGCTGCAGGTCCGACTGTGTTTTAGTCACACTATTTTCAGAAACTAGAAGGTGTTAGCTTTCAAATGATTTATCACATGTGTAATGTGGGCTTACAGTTCCTTAGTTATTTGCTTTTCTATTTGGGTAAGCAAACATTAAAATTAGGTGGTTTAAATAGTTTAAGATGAATTTTCTTCTTTCATTCATGTGTTTCCCTATGTACCCTGTTCATTACACTGTAAGCAGTGTGTCGGAGGCTGCATGTGTTTTTACATGAACATTTTACTGAGAATCACAGTGAGAGCCTTCATGAACTTTAAAATGTAAATTTTAAGCTCGGCATTTTCAGGTACAGGGCTGCTCTTGTGAGAAAGGCCAGGATGGAGCTGCCGGTGTTCTGTCAGATGAGCATACCCCATCAGACAAGCATACCTATAGTCAAGACGGATGCACAAAAACTCAGATCTGCATTTATCCCTTTAGTTTTGCACGAAAAATAAACTTTAAACTATCTCAATGGGCGTATATCCCTTTAATCATGTACAAAAAAACCAAAAATTTAATGTCAGATCGCCATACACTTAAAAAAACACCAAAAAGTTAGTAATTTAATAGATTTTTGTACATGACTAAAGGGATACACGCCTGTTGAGGTAGTTTAATGTGTATTTTTCATACAAAATTAAAAGGATAAATTAAAGTTATAAACAGGTATTGACTGTGGGTATGCTCATCTGACAGAACACCGCTATCCTGTCAGGACAGAATATATTGTCAGATTAGCATACGATTAGTTTTTAACTAAACTAAAAAAATGTTTTTTTTTATGATTTTACACATGAAAACAATATCTAACCAAATTTAAATTCCCCCACACACATTTTTACTACTAAAGTAACGTATTTTTAATTAATATTGACTAATATGTTTTCAGCTATAGAGGCTCCTTCTCTTGGCATCCCAGGAACCTCAATCATGTCTGACTGTTTCTACATCCAAGAAATAACAGTGGAGTCAAGTCTGATTTTCTTTTTTAAAAGTTAAAATAAGTTTTGCTGCTCAGTACACTGCTGCTAAAATACAATGCGGGAATATTTCTATGTTGTTCATGTGCATATTAGATCAATGTATGCCAGGCCTGGGCAATTCCAGTCCCTGAGGGCCTCTACCTTGCATCTTTTAGAAGTTTCCTTGGTCCAACACACCTGAAACCACTAATTAGATGATTAAGAGGCTGCAGAAAATGGCTGCATACTGAAGAGGTAATTCAGCCATTTGATTCCGGTGTGTTTGACCAAGGACAAATCTAAAGGCTTCAGGATAGTGGCCCTCAGGAACTGGAATTGCCCACCAATGAAATATGCCAATCTGACAGCGTATGCTGTTCTGACAAAACACCGGTTCATTCATACTGTGGTTAATAAAAATTGAAGTGAAGGAAAATGAAAACGAATCAATTCCTGGATCGTCTTTCTGGAATGATCTGATCTGATTGGTTGTGTGTTTACCCGGATAGGTGTGTACCACTTCCGGTTCTGAGGCGGCTTCTTGTTCTGAGCCTTCTTAGGTTTGGGCTCGTATGGTTCGTACTCCTGCTCCGGCATCTTCACCACTGCGTTCTTCGGCTTCTCCAGCTTCGCCCCCTCCTCGGTGGAGCCCTTGCCGCCCCATCGCACCTGCAGGCGGACGCAGGAGGAGGTGGTGAACGTTTTGACCTTCACCTGAAACCATCTGGTTGAGCTGATTGAACCGTGAGCTGATCACCTCCATCCTCTTGATTCCACCAACTCCTCTTCCTCCATAATACGAGGCATCCACAGTGGGCCACTTCTTCTTCGGCAGGCCGTCATCATCATCAGACTCCTGCAGCCGTAATCAGAACAGAAAGAAGTCGTAAGATTTCAAAATTAATTAAAACCGCGAGCGGTATTGACGGCCCTCGCAGCTCGCACCGCCTGGTATGTCGCGACCGCGGGAACCAAGCGACCGCCGGCTCCACGCTCCTTCCCAGCCTATTCTCCTGCTCTTCAGCCTATGCCTGCTGCTGCTTCCCCTCATCCTCTTCATCACCCTGTGCTGTTCCTCTTCATCATCCTCTTTCTCCTTCTGCTGCTGCCACTGTTTCCCATCCTCCTCCACCTGCAGCCTCTCCTCATCGTAGTCATGCTCCTGCTAATGCAGCTTCTCCTCATCATCCTCCTGCCACTGCTTTTCTTGCTGCGTCTCCTTCTCCTCCTCCTGCTGTCACTCTTGCTGCGTCTCCTTCTCCTCATCCTGCTGCTGCTCTTGTTGCGTCTCCTCCTCATCCTGCTGCGTATCTTGCTGCGTCTGCTTCTTCTCCTCCTGCTGTCACTCTTGCTGCGTCTCCTTCTCCTCATCCTGCTGCTGCTCTTGTTGCGTCTCTTCCTCATCCTGCTGCGTATCTTGCTGCGTCTCCTTCTCCTCCTCCTGCTGTTGCTATTGCTGCTTCTCCTTCTCCTCATCCTGCTGCTGCTCTTGCTGCATCTCCTTCTCCTCATCCTGCTGCTGCTCTTGCTGCGTCTACTTCTCCTTCTCCTCCTCCTGCTGTCGCTCTTGCTGCATCTCCTTCTCCTCATCCTGCTGTCACTCTTGCTGCATCTCTTTCTCCTCATCCTGCTGCTGCTCTTTCTCTTCATCCCCTGCCTACTGCTGCTTCTCCTGATCCTCTTCATCCTCCTTATCCTGCTTCATTTAATCCTCCTCCATTCTCCTTCTGCTGTTTCTCATTCTAATCATCCTCCTCCCCCTGTGCTCCTTCTCTTCATATTCCTCTTCCTGCTGCTGCTTTCACTGCATCTCCTACTGCTGTTTGTTTCTCATCCTCATCATCCTTCTCCTCCTCCTAAAAGCATGGCTTTGTATGATTGGAGTTAACAGTTTGATGCTTAGCCACGCCCACATGCTTCCATGTAGAATAATAATTTTGATAACTTAATCTGCTATGACTATAGTCCATGTAAAGTTAATTTGAAGTCTCTAACTAAAAAAAAAAAAAAGAGCCCTTCACTTAGATATGTCATGACTTAAAAAAAGAAAATGGTATCTTTGATCCAAAATGGCTGACTTCTTGTTGGGTGTGGACCATGGTTTTAATTGACTTTTTTGAGCATCCTGTTGCGTTATACAGATTTAATAATCCTAAAAGCAGGGCCAGAGGCAGTTAAGTCATACTCTAATGGCACAAAGTCTGATTTTGATGCTTGGCCACGCCCACATGGTTTGTCACAGCAAAAATCTTTTCATTGCTTTTGACCCCTTATGTCTTAAATCGAGGCTCAACAAGTTAGAAGTTTGCCGCCCCCTTGCTCCTTCCCAGCCAGGGGAAAAGGCGCCACGCTTCACCTCTGGACCACCCGGGGGAGAAAACCCACAGTTTTGGTAGGAAGGGTTAAAACTAGGGAAAAAAATTTAAATATCTGGGAAAAATGATTTTATCAATTTTTTGAAAAAGGGTCCGTTTTCAAAAAGGGTGAAGAAATTCAAAGGCCGGAACCACAAAACAAAAAATTCATTAAAAATCCTATTTTTCAATAAACCCCCAAAAAAAATCAACAAATGTCAAAGGAAAAATTTTGCATGTCCTAGATTTTTTTTTGATGATTTAATAAATAATTTAAAAAAAGAAAAATTTTAAAAATTTAATTTCCTTTTACGGGCATTTAAAACCCCCTAAATGCTCAACCATGCATTAAATTCACGAAAACTTTGGGGCTTTTCTATAAACAAAGATAAATAAAAAAGTTCCAAAATTTGGCTAGGATTGCATAAAACTTTTTGAAAAACAAAAAATTTTCCGTTAACACAAACTTTTTGAAAAATCAGAGTGAAGGATTTTTAAAAAAGATGCTGTGTTTACCATCAAACAAGAAGCCATTAAGGAATACATTCCAAAAGTCCTAGCTTTTTTGAGAAATCGACTATTTTTTTTGAAAAAATTTTTAACAAAGTGATTCTATTTTCATAAGGTACCTTTGATTCAAAATGGCCGATTCATGAGAGGGTTTAGACAGGCTCCAATGAAATTTTTTTGGTGGGGGCTCATACAGTGTTCCAAATTTTTTTATCCCAGGGAATAGCATTTTTAGGGGCTGAATTTTTCCCGGCTTTCTGTCCCCCTTGGGGAACTACTAGCGGAACGCAAACTTTTGAAAAAACAGAGTGACGGACTTTTAAAGAAGGTTTGCTTTTGAACCACTTTAAGCAGGGGTTTTAAAGAACATATTTTTAAAGTTTTAGTCATTTGGATAAAATCCGAAAATTTTATACAATTTTTTGAAAAAGAGGGGAGGGGCTTTACAACGGTAAAGAAAAACAAAATGGCAGACTTTCCTGGGGTTTAACCTGGTCCAAGGGCTTTTTTGTTAGGGCTGTGAGGTCAAAAGTGTTCAAAATTTCATTTTCTAGGGCTAAAAAACGGTTGGGGGTGGTGGGGGTTTTTTAAGTTTGTTATTTTAGGGGGCGCTGTAGAAAATTAAAGCCCGCCCACAAAATTTGCTCTGGATTCCTGTTTGGAGTTGGACTAGGATCATCTCTTGTGCTTTGGTGCGATCCCCGATTTAATGAGGAAAATAGAGCCAAATTTATTTTTGGCGAAACCCCCACTTCGATGGGCAACGGAAAAAAAACCTTTTTGATAAAAGCCCCGGCCCTTAAAAGAAATTAGGACAACTGTTGTCTGTCGCTGAACAGTTTTGGTTGTGAGGTCAAGTAGGACAGGAGGGACCATTCAATAAAAAAACGGGTTCCCCGGTTCTCAGGGGGCGTGGCTTTAATTTTTTTTAAAGTTTTAAATTACGTTTTGTTGGAACCGAGAGAGGATTAAAATACCGGGGTTTTGGCATTTCAGTTTTATGTAAAAGTTATTGCTTTTGAAAAATGTTGGGAGTCGCCCAAATTCGAGGCCTGGCCACCCCCCTTTTTTAAAATGCTGGAAAACTCAAAAAAATTTGATGTTTGATTACGCCTTATCTGCATACATGCCAAGTTTGAAGCCGATGGCCCCCCCCGTCCTAGAGGAGTTCCCAAATTTGGCAAAAATTTTAAAAAATCCAAAAAAGGGTTTGACCAAATGGCCGCCCTGTGGTTTTGAGATCCCCTAAGTTTTTTTAAAAATTTTTGGGGGTTTGCCCTCCCCAAAATCTCAAAAATCTCTTATTTTCGGGTTTTCCCCCCTACTTGGGGGGGAAAAGCCATTTTTGGCCACGCCCCCTTTTGGACCAAATAATACGTAAATTTTTACAGGGGGGAATTTTATGCCCAAATTTTTGGTTTTGGGGATGTTAAAAACCCCCAAAAAACTTTTTTTTTTAAGGAGAAAAATAAAAAAAAAAAAGGAAAAAGCAGGAACAATAGGCCCCCTTTGCAGCTGGAGCTGCCGGGCCTAAAAACACACAGATACAATGGTAAAAGGGGCCCCGAGCCCTGCGTTCGAGCCCCCCCCCCCTAAAAAACGAACAGCCAAAAAAAAGATAATTTACGAAGAAATGAAAAGGCGATTCAATTTTTTCTGTGGCCTTTGGAAACCCCGGGAGGAAGGGGGGGTACGGGTCCTTAAAACCTGAACGTTTAGCTGAAAGGACTTTTCAATTAATGCCTGATAAAAGGCGTTTTTGGGCCGATTTCTTACCCCGGTGCAGCACAGAGGCCAGAACCACCACATAAAGAGGAGGGCCAGCAGGAGGAAACAACACCAGCAACGTTATCAGGAGTATGGTGCCGTCAAACTGGATGATAGACACACAAGACAGGAGCCGTTATGCTACAGTAGCATCTGTCACCCCTTGGCCATTTAGATCAGCGTAGCGACCTACGAAAAATCTGGCAAAAATGCTGGAATAGGCTGGTAAACAGGGTCCCGCCGTATGCCGGCATCTGCCATACGTGGGCCATCAGTTCCACGTCAGTTATCTGATGGTTGACATTTATTCGGTGTCAGTTCCTCATCAGTCGTGGCGTCCAGCTTATCCTAAACCTTTGACTAACTTCTGCATAACTTATCTAGAACTTCTCTCCAACGCATATCAACGTATCTGACGTGTTCCAGACGAGCGCTGAACGCGTTTCTAGCTTCCAGCTACTGTATAATGGCGTATTGGCAGCGTTTTGGTATAAAGGGGGTTCACAGGAGGAAACCATCAGTTCTCCTCTAGAATTCATCCCCATCAGAGTGAGCCAGAAGGTGTAGGGTGATGGATCCTCCCTGCGTTCACGCCCACCACCAACAAACTTCCTAGCAGACATGACGCTGAATCTGATGCCACCAAAAACTTTCTTTCTTTCTTTTTCTTTATTCTTTTCTTTTGGGGAGCAGGCAGTAAACAGCAGCTATGTTATACGATGGAGTATTGGGGCCAGGCTAGAGAATTATTTTTTCTTCTATTACGAGAATAAAATCATAAAATTACGAGAATAAAGTCAAAGAATTAAGTCTTCACACGACAAGAAGGAAAGCTTGGAGCTCCGCCCAGCATATGACGGCCGACCAGCTCCACCCAATCAGCAACCACTTTGACATCCTGCCCAGTTTGATGCTGCTGCTAAAAGATTTTCTTATTTGTCAAACCAGAGCCAAAGTATAACTTCACAGGATGCTCGACCTTACTCATTTTAGGGAAGAAAGGGCTTCTTGTAGGAGTTGTCGTGAAACACAACAAGTTTCTCGGAATTTTAGGACTTTATTCTCTTAATATTACGACTTTATTCTGGTGATTTTTTTACTTTAATGTCATAATTTTACGCCTTTATTTTCAGAACTTTACGAATTTATTCTTGTAATTTTACTAATTTATTTTCGTAATTTTACGACTTTATTCTTGAATTAGAAGGAAAAAAAAATCTCAGGC